GAGGAGAGTCTGGTTAGTCCGAGAATCCTTTATAAGGAAACCATTAGCATCAAACAAAATGGAGCAAGAATTATCATTTATAAGTTTGTTAACATATAATAGATTATGAGAGAGGTGAGGAACATGTAAGAAACGACAAAGTTTGAGCTTAAGCGAGGGAGTGGGTAGAATGCCTTGACGTCAAGAATTAGCAATCGGTAAGAGTTTTCCATTTCCAACTTGCACCTGAGAAGAGTCAGTGTAAGATTGAGGGGAGTGAAGCTGGTGCAGATTTGATGTTAAGTGGGATGTGGTTCTAGAGTCCAGAAACCAGTCCTCAGTTTGTGGCGAGCCAGCTGCAATGTAGGTTTGCTGATGAGGCTGAACAGTGAGATCAGTGCGGTACCAGCACTGGTAAGCTGAGTGCCCTATTTTAGAGCAAATTTGACATTGTATAGAGGATCGTGGATAACAACCGCCTCGGTTGTACTGAGTTGATGCGCGACCACCACGAGGCTGTGTAGAAGAGGATCGACCACGAGTAAAAGTGGATGAGGGCTAACAGCCACGAGAACGACCATGAACAATAGAAGAAGCAAAAGCAGTTTCATTGGACAACGACATAGAGTCTGCGGCCATTTCTGATAGAACATTGAGCTCCTCACTGATGAGGAGGGAATAAAAGTCATCAAGATTGATGGGTTGCATTTGTGTGCATATAGCAGTTTTTAAAGGCATTATAAGCCTATGGAAACCCATTTAATGTGTAAAGAAGTATATCTTCGGAGTCGATGGTTGATCCTACTACAGTAATGGCGTCGACTTTCTGCTTAATCTCGGACAGATATTGTACCATCGATTTTTTGCCCTTTTGCACATGATGAAGTTCACTCTTCAGTTGAAGTTGCTGAGAACGATTTCTAGATTGAAATCTACGTTCAATGGTTTTCTAGATATCATGACTGGATTCTAAATTAAGAACATATGATAATAGTGATTGAGAAATGGTGGAGTACAAAGATGCTGCTAGATTTTGATCAACTAACATTCAAGTTTGATACGAAGGATTTATGTTAATAGTTCCATCTGCCTTTAGGATTTGTTTTTGTTGTTTGATGTTAGTGCCATTCAAAAAACCATCAAACCCGTTGGCCGAGAACAGCTTTAGTATTTGTGATTTTCAGATATGATGATTTTCTGCGGTAAGCTGTGTGTTGATCACCGTTTTGACATTGTTCATGAGAAAATTGAGCTGCGAAGGGATCTCTGTATCATTCATCATGCTGGAAGCATTGGGAGCAAAAGATAGCGAGGAAGTTGATGAGTCCATTTACAACAATGTCTCTGATACCTTGAAGAAGTCTTGATTGGACAACTAGCACTGGAGACCTGCACAAAGGATTAGAAGAAACTAGAAATGCAAGAAGCAGAAGAGATTGTCATTGTAAACTATCACTCAATATTATGAAACCTTAGCTACAGTGTAACGTTTAAATATAAGGAAGATGATAGAGTTAGTTTGAGATCAACAACTGAGCTTCCCTATGCCACAGATCAGCAACAATTTAGATGTGCTAGCTCAAACGGTAATGCTTATTATACAGAGAACATGGATAAGAGAGCTGACGAATCAGATAAACAAAATTTACTTATCAATGTTGTCATATCCTTTATTAGTATCAAAACTAATGGTTTGTAAAGGCTGTGACACTTAAGTGTCTTCGTCTTTTTTTTATTGTAGTTGTGGAAGGTTCAAGAGAGGTGTATCCCTTTAAATTTGCTTGAAGCCATGATGAAATTTTAGCCATACACAAGTTTCATGATTAATTATCATGGACTTTGATCATCGTTTGACTCACCATGCCTTTCTACAAAGGGTCTCTCCAGTCCAACATGCTCTCGAAGTGTTCCTTAAAGGAAAACCTTGTTGGGAATAAAACCGTGTAATAAAAAAAAGTGGCAAAAAGAACACCAGGATAGAAAACCTAAAATCAGGAAGAAAATCACGAAGCCACACCACATAAAAAAATCTATTATGAAAACATGAGAAATTGTGCATATCTGCTTAGTTTTGTATAGAATTTGATTGTGTAGATAAATCGAGTTGTATTTTTGTGTCGGACCTCAATTTCACTGATCAAGCTCATCGGGGGGTTGTAAGGGGTCCTCCCTCTGCTTGTGTACGGGTGTTTTGCTACTTAAATTCTTTTCCGTACAATAGTTTAGAGTCGTGGCACTGTGTACCTGAGCATTACAATGTTGTATAGTTTGCTTGAAGACAGACAAAGAGCAGAGGGTTGTGGCAGTCCAAACCTTAGCGTTGCTAGGGAGCACTATGATGCTCCAGACCCCCGCGCTGCAGTGCTGTCAGGTAGACTAGAGACATAGAGTGAAGCGTGGCGGCACTACGAGGCAAGCTAACCATTTTTCTTTCTCGTTTTTCATGAACGGTTGTGTTTCTTGGTGGTTTTATTGAATCTCTTTGTTAGTTCTCGCAAGAAAACCGTTCAAGTGAGAAGAGAGACAAGAAAAGAGTGAGAGAGAAGGGAGATTTGTATTATTTCTCATAAATTTTCACAGTGAATTTCTTGGTGTGTTGTGGCTCTGTGGTTTTTCCTCAGTTTTGAACAATTTTCACGTTAGATCTTGATGTTCTTTCTTTCTGCTATCATTTTTTATTTCTTGTTTGTTTCACTGCGTGGTTTTAGTTCCCTAGTAGATCTTTCTTCTCACAAACTCTCTTTGTCTCTCTTAACTTCTCAAATTGTTCTATACTTAGAACAAATAAAGACACATTACAAAACACCTAAAGACCCAACCCTTCAAGTAAAATAAGTAAAACTGCTCATCTTGACTCGCAGTGCAACGATACTATATTTGCAGTGCCTCGGTGCTAACTTATTTGTCTCGCATGGTGCTATGAACAAAAGCATTGCGGTGTTGGAACTACACTCTACAGTGTTGTGCTCTTTTTCTCAGAGGGGTTCCACAATGCTTTGGCACTATAAAGACAAAAAAAAATCAAGGGGGATTCACCCACAAACCCCCAAGCAAAGGGTGTGCTGCTCCCCTGCACACCCCAATGAGCTTTTCGCTAAACTTGACTAATGAAATGAAGATCCGAGTCAACTGACACAATTAAATTCCACACATAACTAACAAACCTTCTGCCTTATTGGGATAGCTCACAAGCATTTGTTCCCAAGGCCATTTCTCACTCAGGAAAGATCGTTTTCCACTCCAGCTGTCTACTTAGGGCTTATTATCTTCTCGGACAGACCTCCAGAACTTAATTCAATGTCATTAAGTGCAGAATAACATCGAATTAATAATCACATTAATTATCAAGCTTAGGGACAAAAGTTAAAGCTATACAAAGTTGCACATCTATGCACACATGCTTCTAATGCTCTCATAGGTGGTTATTAAGTTCTTTGAGATCGGGGGGCTAAAGTTATAGCTTTTCTTTTGATTTCCTCTCTAACTGATTGAAGTCCATGCTCATATTTATTTATTTATTCTTCTTCTCATATATTATTATATTTCTCCTCTACACTTTCTCTTCTTGTGTCTAGTTTCTCTTTGATGTATCTTCCTCCTCCTCTTCTCTAGGAAGCTCATTACAAGTTTAGTGGCATATCAGGTGTACTCAAATTCACTTAAATAATGCAGGATCTAAAAATGGACATAGGACTTCTGATCGAGCTGCTATAAATCTTCGCCATGTTTTGATGTGCTCCTCATTTCTGTCTCCCCGTAGAGTAATCATAAAGTAGTAAGTTTTTTTTTTTTTGGAACATTTAGGTCAATTAAGACAAACACACACATCACATATGCAATACTCGAATACAAACATCTTGATTAATAGTCAAAGCTCCAACCAACAGATCAAGATGAGCTACAACGTAAGAAGTTTCTAATATGTTCTCTCATTCAATCACTTTGAAGCATGTAGTCTCTCTAGTCCTCTTGAGAGAATGAGTTTCTATTGCTCAGGAGAAATTCATACAAGGTTATGAGTCTAGCTACGCACACTTGCTATCAACACTCACAGATATATATGAAGTTTTATGAGGTTGGTAGCTTGATTTCAAGTTACTTCAAGCTCTTCAAAGTTCTTTGCTGTCCTCTCTGAGTTTTCTAAAGTCTGGTATTTCCATTACTATAGTATGTCCCCTCTGTTTTTTCTTCTTTAGTGTAATTTCTCTACATTGTATGTACCATTTTCTCCTCAAGAAGGCCCGCTTGAAGAACAACAATATGTTAGCTGTACTTGAATTTATTTAGATAGTGCACATTCCCTTTATATATAGCTCTGAAAGCTGTGTATGTTTGTTAATCAAAACGCTATAGATCTCTACCATCTCTTTGGATTCATGCATGTTATATCTCCTCATAGAATAAACATACTTTAGTACTTTTCCAATCTTTTCTCTCACCGAAACTCGAAGAGGGGTTCTCTCTCTCTCTCTTCATGGGAGAATGAGTTCCTAATTATTTACAAGCGAGCCTCCTATGATGCCTCCATGTGATTTGAGTCATACTCTTAGGCTTCGTTTGAGACAGCTTTTGTTTTGCTTCATAAAACAATTTTTTAATAAAAATTTTTCTAAAAAAAATTAACTCAAGAAAACTGTTTTAGAAATCAATAAAAAAGCTTTCTCAAACGAAGCCCCAGTACATTATAAAAACTTTCATTTGAGATGAGATGATAGCAGAAATGGAGAGTATTTATGCGAGGGGAAGGACAAACATGATTTGGGTTGTCTTACTCTTGCATTATTCATTTATGAAATTTTCTCTTACTCCATGAACGGTTTGTTTCTAACTGTGCATCTTTTCCTTTTATCAAATGAACATCAATTCTAACTTCACCATTTTGTTTTCTTCAGATTCCACTATAAGCAAGTACTATCAGTGAAAACTAAAGTGAATGAACTCCATTTATAAAGAAAAACAGAAGTTTTATTTCCAAGAAGCTTGAAGAAGCTGATCAAGGAGCTCCTGCTCATCATCCAGCCATGAATAAGAGCCCAATAGCTTCTGCAACCAGAGCTTCTGATCTCATCAACGCCAAGCTAGCAGAGCACCAGATAATTGGATCCAATCTCTGCCCAACCTGCAATTACAAGATTGATCAGAAGCATGTAAGCATTTAATCAACAACTCCAAAAACAAAAAAAATTATCTAAGTTAAACGTGATTGAATTGTTTTTTATGATACTAGGATTGGATTGGGCTACCTGCAGGAGTTAAATTTGATCCAACTGACCAAGAGCTCATTGAGCACCTGGAGGCAAAGGTTTCCACACATGGATTGGGTTCTCATCCTCTTATAGATGAGTTCATACTAACAATTGATGGAGAAGATGGAATTTGTTACACTCATCCTGAGAAGCTCCCAGGTATAAACATTTGCAAAGGTTTTCACACGGATTTGAGGCAGATTTGAGAGAAATCCAGCCAAACGGCCTAAAATGCAAAACCAAATCTCACAGCAAATGAAAGCCGTAGTAGATAAAAAATTCTGCCTTTCCCGGATTTCCGAAATCCTGTTTTTGCCGGATTTACGAAATCCATTGGCTCAAGAGGAGAGTTCGCTCGTTAAATCCACTCAATAGCCAAACAGACAGCGGATTTAATAAGATTTATCATGAATGTTACCAAATGGTTTTCGGGATTCAGCCCCTCGGGATTTCTAAAATCCGGATTTAGAGGATTTAAGAAATCATACTTAAATCAAATCCTGAGTGCTACCAAACAGCCCTTTTAACTCCACAGTATTTTCTTCTTTTTCAGGATTGGCAAAGGATGGAGTAAGCAAGCACTTCTTCCACCGGCCATCAAAGGCATACACAACGGGGACGAGGAAGCGGCGGAAGATACAGACGACAGAGGTGAATAATGAGCAAGGAGAGACTCGGTGGCACAAAACGGGGAAGACGAAGCCTGTAATTGTGAAGGGAGAGCCGAAGGGTTGCAAGAAAATATTGGTTCTATATGCCAACTTTGGCAAGTGCAGGAAGCCAGAGAAGACCAACTGGGTGATGCATCAGTATCACTTGGGAGAAATGGAAGATGAGAAGGAAGGAGAGTTGGTGGTTTCTAAGATATTCTATCAGACACAGCAAAGGCAGTTTAGTGCAAGTGAAACCGGGAGTTGATCACATGTGATATAATTTCAAATAAGTATTTACTTTAGGCTTTATATCTTATTAATTATATATATTAGTTATTTGGTATATATATTTTGCCTAATATTAAAGGCTGGCGGTTTTCTGCTGTTTTTTATAAAGCAGTTTTAGTAACATAAAATTTTAAATTTTTGTACTCAAAAGCCTATTTTTTAATTGCAATTGAAAAATTGCCTTGTCCCAAACGAAGCCTAAATGCGCATGGCAACTTAAATCTTTTGTTCCTAGTTTTTTACTGCTTCTCTATATCTCTACTCTCATTTAGTAAATTTTCCATAGTTAGGTTGTATATTTAAGGATTTTTATGTTCGAAGTAGATGATCTCGTCTTCTAATATAATGGTGGTAGAAAAGAATCCCTTACATTCGTTAGCAAGCTCTTAGTTTTTGACTTTTTCTTGATTTCCACACTGATATAATTGTCTGTTTTTTTCTTGAGAGGTGGTTTGTAATTGAAATCTTCTTTAGCTTATTTACCCTTTTCAAACTTTAAGGTTCCTCGTTGACTGCGTTGTTTATAATATGTTATAGTAGCATCAACGAGGAGAAGGAATCAAGAAAACTGGCAACCACCCGAAAGCAGAAGTAGCAACGAAGAATTTGAATGTGTTGCTATGGAAAGAGAGATGAATTATCAAGTAAATGCCACTATGATTTTGAATCACCTTACATTTTAATTAAGTTGAGTTAATCTATATTTGTTTTAGTTAAAATAATTTAAAAATATTATATTTATTTTATATTATGTGGTATTGTTAATTTGAATTATTATGTTTGTTTATTAATTAAAAAGGTTATTTTATAATAACACTTAAATGATTAACTAATTATTTAGTAAATTGTATGTATGATTAAAATTAATTAATTAATCTCTTGTTTGCCAAACAGCCCTTAATTTACTCAAATTTTAAATTAAATTAAGGCCCCCTATCTCGTGTTGATTTCGGTTTATTTAGTTGTCGGAGTTTACGCGGAAACGGACCGATTTTTGATTATGGCCGTACCTTAGAGGTGCTAAGCGCTCTTATATAGATTCTTTTTGGGCCTTCTGCGAAAAAGGAACTGTTGGTCTTAGGGCTGTTTGTAGACTGGATTATTCCGCTGATTTTAAGTTCGGATTTACGCTAAAGGTCCTTAGCCAAACGGTTTGTTGTGCGCTCGTTATAATTCGCGGATTTGTAGGGTTACAGCTTAATCCTCGGATTTACTTAAATCATTGCTGTTGGGTGTTTTTTCGGATTTATTACGGGTTATTTTAGCCGATTTTAAAGCGCGCGAAAGGGGATAGTTAGCTTTGTTCACAGCCGAGTCGAGGTCCCGTTCTTGGTTTCCGATTTACAATAATTTGTCTTGAAATTTCCTTGATTCCGGATCGGGAAGGGATGACGTTTGAAGGACGAGTTGAACAGTCTCGAAGGAAACAATGAAGTCCTACAGCTTCATTGTGCAATTGCTCTACTCCAACTCGCTTGCGTAAGCAACGAAGCCTATCAGCAACACTCTAAGCTTTGTTGTTTTGTTAGCATATTTGTTTGCTTTCTCCGTTTTCTAGAATGGTTGTAAATTTTTTTGTTTTTTTTTGTTTTTGTGGTGTTTTGTTGTTCGTCAATATCCGTTCCCAATAACTCATTTTTCTCATTTTTCTCTGCAGTTTTGATAATGCTTTTTTTTAATGTGCTTCTCTGTTAGATAATACTCTTATTTTTCTGATTACTAATGGTTTTTTAAAAACTGTTTGTTTGCAAAGTACAAAAAATAACAAACAAGCTTAAACGTTCGATTTGGGACAGGCTTTTTTTATTGGCGTTTTTATTATTTTAGTAAAATAAACTTTATTTTGTACTAAATTTGTTTTAACACATAAAAAATGCTCGTCTCCAAATGACCTAAAGAGAAGATGATTTAGGGCAAACCTAGACGCCTCTAAGTTATTATTGATTAACTTAATTAATATATTTTAAAATATTATTAAATAAGTAAAATAATTAAATAATTAATTTTATAATTAGTGCATAAATTTATTATCTAATTTAACTTAATTATACAATTAATAATTAAATATTAATAGAATTAACTTAATTAATATAACTTAATATGTATGTATTATTAAATATTTAATTAATAGTGTAAATAATAATTAATGAGTAATTTGTACTTAATATGTTATTAAATTTATAACACATTAATTGTTGTTGGATTTCTACCAATTGTCAGACTTTCACCAAACATCTATCTGATGTTGGATTTCTGTCCATTGATGGACTTATACCAGACGCAGTTCTTTCGACCTCCGTCGCCTGCCGACTACGGTCCTTCAGACTAATGTCGCCCGCCGACTACAGTCCTTCTGACCTCCGTCGCCTGCCGACTACGATCTTTCCGACTTCCGTCGCACGCCAACTACAGTCATTCAGACCAAACAAGCACATCAATAGTGATGATTTATATTCTCATCATGTAATGTACTTTATAAGATGTATATCAAGCTAAGGCCTTCCCCTGAGGAAGGACCTCATTTGTCATCAACTACAATACTAGTGGATTCATTTATAATGGGCAAGTCCCCGTGGTTTTCCCCCTTTTTTAGAGGTTTTCCACGTAAAAATCTTGGTGTCTCATAAATAGTCTCTTAAATACTACACACCCTCTCTCTTATATGATTGCATGCCGGATTTTCGTACAACGCTAAGACTTTAAACTTTATATTTCTCTACCGCTGCGAATATTCCTGGACGTAACAATTATATTTTTATTAAATAAGTAAAACTTGTAATTTTCTTTGTTTTCTACGTATGTTCATTAATTTCATGATTTTTTTTTCCTGAAAAAACAAGGATCTGGTAAAGATTTGTCTAAAAGGAGGGAAAGCACTGATAAAGAAGAACGTGCTAAAAAGGTATTTTCTTGCTTCTCATGATTATTTTTGGGGGGACAATTGAGAGCTATTTTTTTTTTTTTGGGGAAATTTTGGGCAAAGCCCGTATATTAACTCAAAATAAAGTTACATAACAAAGCAAAATAAGAAAATTGGCTATAAAAAATAAGCCAAGCTACAATAGCTTCAAAAAGGAAAAAGCCTATGAAAATACACGTGTGTATACCCGAAAAAGCTCCAACCGAAGACCAAAAAAGACTCCCATGCCCGGATTACCTGGACTCAGGAATAGATAAATAGGAATAAGCAGATCGATCACATCCCTGGTTGCCCAAAGATGTCTTCAGACCGTCCGAGGATGAGTGGGGAGCTTCATCATTGTCCAGGAAGGCATATCTGCAATTTCACGAGGCAACAACGAAGCAACGGCAACTGGAAAAGAACTGCCTACATCCCGTCCAAGAAGTCTATAGCATATCCCCAGGTCATAATCCTCTCAGACAAAGCTCTTTTAATACATAGCTGTAAAGAAGTGTGGCATTGCAGCTTGTTCCCAAATATCCTATTATTCCTCTCTTTCCATATATAATAGATCACTGATGATACCGCCAATTTATAAAAGTTGAGCATCTCAGTATTATCATTGTATTTTCCATTCAACCAATCATAAACTTGCAAAATATTGGGTCTGAACAGGAAAATATCCATACCAGGAATAATGCTAGTCAATATGGAGAAAGAGTAAGAGCATTCAAAGTATAAATGATATACCGTTTCATCATGAGTGTGACAAAGACAGCAAGTGCTAGGAACAAACACATTCCTGATACGTAAAGCCTCCGCAGTTTTGAGACCGCCCATAATTGCAAGCCAAGCGTATACAGAGAATTTTAGAGCCTTTCTTTTGTGCCAAATCATTTTATACCAGCTACAATCAGATATATCAGAGTAAAATTCCTTCATAAAATTGTTATAATTGACTTTCTCCTTATCATACCAAAGCAAACAGGGACCATCCTCATCAAAAATATATATACTCCGCAAAACATCCCTCAAACCTGATGTAAGGGAATCAGGCAAAGTCCAACCAGAATTAGACATGATATTACAGAGTTGAATATCAGGAATTTGAGGCAAAGTAACGGATCCAAAAAATTCAGAAAGAGTGCAGTTTTGATACCAATGATCCCATTTTAAAGAAATGGGAGCAGCCTTTGTAATCTTAAATTTAAAGCAGTGTTTGGCCATGTTTGCCGTGAGGCAAATAGATTTCCACATCTTAGAAGCATCAGCCAGGGAAGCTTTCCAAGGCGATCTATATTTGTTCAGCAGCCATACAGACAATGGGGAAGTGCAGTTGTACATCCGAGAAATAACAGAGCAATTATAAGAAAATAGCATGGCAGGAATAAAGGAGATGCCCAGACCTCCTTTAGAAAAAGGCAAACAGACTTTATTCCAAGCTATCATATGCAGCTTTTTGTTTGAATTAACATCCCCAAAAAATAAAAACTTGGAGCTAGTTTTCTTGAGAAATTTGTGCACATATTTGGGTAAAATTGCACCCCTAATCCAATAAGCAATTGTATTTTGAATAGTAAACTTCAGATATTGTAGCCTACCAGCAAAGGAGAGAAGATTAGCTTTCCAACCGCTAAACTTCTTGTTCAAGCTATCTATTAACGGCAAATAGTCTTCAATTTTGAGTCTATGAAAAGAGAGGGGAATACCCAAATATGTGATTTTAGTAGCTATGTTATGAATGGATAAAGCCTGACAGATAGCATGTTGATTGTTCAAATTCTTTGGGAACATAATGGCAGTCTTGTCATAATTAACATGAAGACCGGAAGCTCTAGCAAAGTCATTCAGAATGGAAACCAACAAGTTACAGTTCTCAAGAGTGGCTTCTCCAAATATGAGGACATCATCAGCATAAAGCAGATGAGAGATGGAAAATTCATTAGAGCATATCCCCTTGAAACCTCTATCCTCAAGGAGATTGGAGAAAGCATCCATAGCTAAGCAAAATAGATAGGGACTAATGGGGCATCCCTGCCGAAGACCCGCAGCAGAGGGGAAGTAGCCCTCAAGAGCACCAGATAGTAAGACAGAGAAATTGACATCACAAATGCAAGCTTTGACCCAACTCACAAAGCGACTAGGAAAGTCTTTCTGAATAAGTCTAGTTATTAAAAATTCCCTGGAAACTGAGTCAAAAGCTTTCTTTATGTCCAATTTAGCACAAAAAAATTTTCCTTTGCCTTTTTTCCCTGAATGGTACAAAATATCAGAAGCAAGCAAGATATTGTCTGTGGATACTCTGGATTTAAGGAAGCCTGCTTGATTATCCTTAACAATAATGTTCATAACCGGTTTAAGTCTAACAGCAATGACTTTAGCAATAATTTTATAAACCACATTACACAGGCAATTGGTCTATAATCAGAAATATTGGCAGCATTAGAGTGTTTAGGAATGATAGCAAGTGCTTTAGCTTTAACACCATTAGGCATGTAACACTAAGTGAAAAAAGATTTTATAGCTCTACATACCACCGGCCCTATGATATGCCAACTAGACATATAAAAATAGAAATTATACCCGTCAGGTCCAGGAGAAGAATTGGAGGATCCCATAAAAACCGCAGCTTTAATTTCCTCATCCAGAACAGGGGAGCTAAGAGTCGCATGATAGCAGTCCGGAACAATAACACCGGTAGGAATAGCATCAGCAGCCATGTTATGGGAGGAATGAGGATTGTATAATGCTTGAAAATACTGAATAATTGTAGAGACAATCTCAGCTCTATTAGATGTAGAACTGCAAGAAAGAAGATTGAGAACAGACTTTTTGCCACCCATTCGACTCTTGATTTTAGCATACAAAAATTTAAGATCATCTTCCCCATATTTAAGCCAATTAATCTTGGCCCGCTGTATAATCCATGAAGCATGAAGCCTATTGAAGTTAACGAGCTCAGTGTTACAATATTTATATGCCATGTTAAGTTCTGCATTTCTGTGGTCATGTTGCATTTGTTCCAGCAAATAGCTTTGTTTTTTTAGAAGGTAATCAATGTGTCTAGAAACACTATTAGAAGAAGCCCAATATTCCTTTTTGATAGCACTCTTCAGCATCCTAAGTGAGATACAAAGATGAGAAAGTGGATTCCCAGAACATGGCCTAGTAAACACCTCTAAAAGTATAGACCAATAAGAGTCGATCTTGGTCCAATAATTTTTGAAGAGGAATCTGTGAAGAGCCTGCATAGCCTTCCCAGGATGTAAAATGATAGGACAGTGATCCGAGCAGGAAGGCCTTTGGATGGAGCAAAAAGAATCAGGATACGAGTTTCTCCAAATATCATTCACAAGCACTCTATCCAACTTAATGTGAATAGGGTTGTCTATCTGTTGATTATACCAAGTGAATTTACCACCTACAGAGTTAAGATCCTCCAACCCATTAAGGAAGATGAAATCATTAAAATCTTTCAGAGCAGGTTGAGAGAGAGAAGAGCCTCCTAGCTTTTCGTTTGCATATCTACAGCAATTGAAATCACCAATAATAGCCCAAGGTAAAATACCCTCGGGAGCAGCAAGAGAAAGAGAGTTCCATAAATCCTTGCGTTCAGACATACTGTTAGAGGCATATACAACAGATAATTGAAAGAGAGGTTGATTAGAAATAGAAATCATGCCAGAAATTAATTGAGAATTGATGACATTAGGGATAAAAGATAATTTGGAAGCATTCCACTTCACCCATATCCTCCCCGAAGCAGAGAGAGCAAAATTGTTGCAACTGGACTCATTAGTGAAAAGAGAGTGAGTATTTTCAAAGAACGGGTCCGTCAAAGATTGGAGTTAAATTCTGTTCTCCAAGATACAAACTAGGTCAAGTTTGAAGGATTGAATGAGACGCCGACAGCATAATACTTTATCGGGACGATTAAATCCCCTAATATTCCACACTGCCAATGGTGGAAAAGACATCATGAATTCTGCTTCGATAGGGTCTTTTTACCCTGCTTCCCTTTAGCAGGTTTTTTGGCTGTAGTAGTTTTGTTTTGCTGAGATGATTTTCCCAAATCTTTAAGGTTTTCCTCCTTATCCACCTTTTTAGAAATCAAATTCGCATTGTCAGCGGAGTCACCAGAGATAACCGAATTTTCCTTGACATCACCCTCTAAGTTTAAAACATCAAACTTATTAGGAGAAACAAAATCTTTCCCTGTGGACTTAGATTGAGTTTGAAGATTTGTGGATGAAGATGAAGCGGCAGCATTGGGGGAATTTAAGTTTGGAATACCCAGATTAAATGAAACCCCAGAGTCAGGAATGTCATTCCTAGGAGGCTTCCCAACAATCGCATCAGACCATTCCAGCATTTTTCCAGGAGGAGGGGGAGAGTGCGGCTGATAATGAAGGGGTTGACCTGTGACTGTAGACGGAATGATGTGAGTATTTGTGTTAACAAGAAGTTTAGGTAAGACAGGATCCTGAGAGTTAGTAGGAGGGCCAGGAGACTTCTCAACATGACTGGTTTTGGAGGAAGCTCGGAAACGTGGCTTCCTGCTAGCACTCCTACCCCTATTATTATGACTTTCAATACCTGCTTCCTTCCCATGTTCATTTGAAGCCATCACAGTATTTTTCGGGCATGAGTTAGAAAAGTGCATTAAAGACTTACAGTGTTGGCACGGAAAAGGGCGCCATTCGTATTGCACCCTCAAGCTAACCACTTCCCCATCCAGCGACACCTGAATCGCCTCCGGGTACGTAGCATGGCAGTCAACCAGAACATAAATCCGAGCGTAAGTAAGACGGGTTTTCTGCTCCGTCAAGCTGTCCGCCGCAACCGGAACTCCAATTTTGCTAGCGATTCTGGAAATCCCCTCCGAATTCCAGCATGCAAGAGGAAGATCGTGTATCTTCACCCATATTGGAACAGTAGCAAAATCTTCTCTTTTCGGTATAAATTTTGGATGCCATTTTTGGAGGACAAAAGGCTTCCCTAGAATGAACCAGACTCCCCTCGACCATACCGATTCGAAATCATCAGAGCAGGAGAAACGGAATAGAAAAAAACCGTCATTTAGAGATAAAAGCTGAACAGAACCTTTCAAGCTCCAGGTCTTTTTAACTGCGGCTAACAAGGCTTCATAGTAAGGTCGCCTCCCGATGGAGTAACCCACCACACAAAGCTTCCAATCTTCACTTCCAGAAGACAGCTTCTCCCCGGAGAAAGGGATGATGTCCGGTTCAGAAGGGAAATGAGAGAACTTGAGGGAATTTGGGGACGATTTTACCGGCTCAAAAACTTTATTCCAATTCTTAGAAATCGCGCAAACCTGAGCGCCAGGAGGAACAAGCCGAGGAAACTCTGACTCAGAGAGGGCAGCATCCATGTGAAGAGGAGAAGAAGTTCCCTCCGGCATCGCCGGAGGAAAAAAGGCGGATGTAAAGCAGAGGCAGGAGGCGGGGAAGAGCAGGAAGGAAAACAAACCCTCCCGTGTCTTCCTTTCTCCAAGCCAAACTACGCTGAGAAGGACTCCCTAAGCTCCTCTCCTCCTACGGTTTCAACCAGCCGAGAGCAACCAAAGCTCCTTCTCTCAGCCGAACTACCCTGAAAAGAACATTCTCAGTCTCACCCTAAAATTTGACTCATAAGTCAATAAAGTAATATACTGTCAAAAAGCACATATCCAACTCTCTATTAATGCCAAAAAAGTATAATCTACTCGAATCTCAAAGCCATAGCTGCTCATCAAAAGAAAAATTGAAAATCTCAATCTGAAATAATTTACTCAAATTCTTACCATCCACAGTTATCATTATAAAACCCCACGCCCTACCATCAACCTATTCTAGAATAAGGGCATCTCCAACCAAAAATCTCATTTTTCACTCCAAAATTCAGTGAAATCAAAAAATGTCATGATTCATCTCTAATGGAACGTCATTTTATCCCGTAAACCGTCGTTCTTTTCATTCGCGCCTTTTTCCCAAAGTTCGATAGAGATAAAAGAATGTCGCAGATGAACAGTGCGACGCCAATACAACGCAAATATTGGTGTCGCACTGTTCATCCGCGATCAAATGACATTAAAAATGACGTTTGATTGGAGCAAAGTAAAAACGACAAACAAATATTTATAGTTCGGTTGGAGATGCCCTAACCACACCAAAAAAATCTCATCGCCTTCAAAACCTTAGCAATAATTGAACGCTGGATTAAGATAAAATACAAAATTCCAAGATTTCCCGAAATACCCGCGTTTCACGTGACGAGAGGGAATACGTCTCCTTTCCCTTTTACGGATTCTTTCCTGAATCGAGACATTTTTACACCGAAGCGTATCCCGTGACGGGCGACTGCGTTATCTGTAGCTGCGGTTGTGGGTGGAGACGGTCACCGCTCGTCCTCCGGCTATTTGGCCGGTCGGCGAGTAGGCCTCGTCGAACCTCGTAAGTACGAGGCGGTGACGCGACCACTCATCTTTTAAAAGAGGGGCTATTTAGGTATTGCGCATTGTAGATCTCAGGGGATCATCTTGGAATTGGGGGTTTCCTGCAAAGAAAATCTAACGGCGGATGTTTAAAGGTTAAACCCCCCAGTTTTCTTTTATATATATGTGAACTATTAATTAAAAATTTATTTAAGAAAATGAGATGGTTCAAAATTTTACTTTACATTAGATGTAATTGAAATCAAGTTCATATCTAATTCAACAAATATAAAATATGTTTATGATTATTAAATTTATTTTAAGATTGTTGTGTCCTGGAATATTCGCGGCGGTAGAGAAATATCATATTTAACGTCTTAGCATTGTACGAAAATCCGGCACGCAATCAGATAAAGAGAGAGGGTCTAGCATTTATGAGACACCAAGATTTTTACGTGGAAAACCCCTGTAAAAGGGGGAAAAACCACGGGGCCTAGTCTAGTTTGAACGAATCCACAAGTATTTGCAGTCTATTACAAATGAGGCCCTTCCTTGGGAGAAGGCCTTAGCTTGATGTACATCTCATGGAGTACATTACTTGATGTAAATACAAAGAGCTACTATCGACGTATTCAATTTGTTAGAACGACTGCAGTCGGCGGGCAACGTAGGTCGGGAGGACCATAGTCAGCTGGCGACGAAGGACTGTAGTCGGCGGGCGACGTACACCAGGAGGACCGTAGTCGGTTGGCGACGGAGGTCGGAAGGACTGTAGTCCGACGACGAAGATCAGTAGGACAGCGTCAGGTAGAAGTCCAGCAATGGAAAGAAATGCATCTTCGCATAGACGTCCAACGAAGTCCGATAACCGGTAGAAGTCCGACGTCGGGTAGAAGTCCGACGTCTTTGGTGGCAGAGGAGAACTCCGACTTCACTTGGGCGGAGTTTCGGCGTCAGGAGGGAGATTGGAAGCATCTTTCAGCATCCCATTGGTACAAGTTGGGCAAAAAAAATTATTTCTGGTGTTTCTCCCGAATATCGGCAAGTTCCGACGTCTTCAGGCGGCAGCTTAAAGAGCTCCCGTGCGATGTCGAGGAGGTGAGTGACATCTCCTTTTCCGCCCGTGTCTCCTCTTCTTCTTCTCTCCATTAACTTGAGCCCCCTGGGTAGAATGGACTGTTTTTATAGTTTTCTGGAGTGGCATAGCCCGTAAATAGGCCGTGAGATCATGGGCGAATTGGAGTGTTTTGAAATGGGACGGCGATATTGAATCCTTTGAATTTGAACCATTCGTTGGGCATTTGAAGGCCTTAATGATGTCGGAAATTGCGGAGATTTTGGGCTCGTTTGGATTCGTGCTCGCCGAGCCGCTCGATCGAGTTAAGCTCGTATAAATCCGGAGACCGTTTAAGTAACCTAATTGCGGTTTGAACATTCCAATAGCGCTTCAGGTCCTTAATTCGACCCATTTTGGACTCGGATTGGGTCGAATTTGGTGTCGTTGGGTTCGTATTTCCGAGACGCTTAGTTTGATTATAAGTTTGCTGAAATCGGAGTTCAGGTGCTCCCGGATTTAATTTTTAAAGTTTCCGGATGGCTTTTTGCCTCGAGATTCGTGCCCGACCAAGCTAATTTTGTGATGTCATATCAAAGATAAATATAATATATGATAAATTAATAAAAAATTTATCATATTTATCTTAAAAACAAAATTAATAAATTTAAAACTTATCTTAATAAACAAATTTGATAATTATTTTAAATTATTATTTGTCTATTTTGATTTAATAAAATAGATAATTTTTATATAACAATTAGATTTTTTTTGCAAAAAAATAAATCATTTTTTAGTAAAAAAATTACTAATGCTCCCCTTCTCTCTCATGCCATTTCTATCTCCCACACATTTGGTCTTTTTTTCTCTCCCCCCCCTCTCTCTTCATCGAAAAATTATTAGGTGCGGAGTGTGCACAGTCCGCACAAATATGGGTACCTAGCGGTACTCAGCGGTACCCAACGGTACCGAGTGCCGGTACCTAGCGGGGAATAAGACTTGTGTGGACGGTTCTCCCCGTCCGCACTCTGCACCTAATAATCTCTCCTCTTCATCGGCTTTCTCTCTCACTTCAATTGAATGTGCCAATTCAAATGGTGCATTTATAATATTTTTTTTGCATATTCTATATG